TTGAAGCGACAGTACGATGGTTGCTTCAGCGCTGCAGGAGTTCTCAGTAATGTCCGCAAGGACAAACTTAAAGCCCACATCAAGAGGCATTTCGGAGAGAGTGTGCAGTTCATCAGGCCCAGCCGCGCCAATGAACCTGAACAGGTGTTCGCAACCCAGTACAGTCAGGAACTTCTACGAGAGTCGGTTAGCCAACATCGTCATGATGGCGATGATAGTGATGATTGCTACAGCTGTAACAGTGACGAAGGTGATGACGATGGTGATGACGATGGTGATGATAGGAGTGATACTGATGTTGCTAATGATGATTGCGCATTCTTGATCCCTGAGGAGGGCGCTGCTGATAGCCATGGTCCTCCAGCCAAAGAGGCACCACCGTCAAGCACGCCTGATGGACCCTTGGCAGGCAATGAATGCGGACTTGAGGAGTGGCGCATCATCTACCATGCAGCACTAATAATTCGCCGAGAAGTAGACACAACTGTATCAACAGGCAAGAAGTCACAATCAGGTGAGTGACTACTGAAGTAGCTATGGTAATCAACATGCATATAAATGGTGCACTGCGTATCAGGCGCGTGCACCGTATGAGTTTTTTGGTGTCTGGAAACCACCTTTTTTCGGGCAATCTTGCCAAAAGAAAATCGTGTAGTACTGGATTGGTTATCGATCCTGCAAACGCATCGATCGACGGGCAGTTTACAGTACAGTGACTATGTCCTTATTTCGAAGTGAGAGAGAGTTGCTTTGCATGCAGTTCGAAATACATTATTCTCTTTGTCTTCAGTGGAGAGTAGCCACGGAGAGATCGATCTCTAGCTCTGGTTCGCTCCTGGATTGGCGATGACGTTCAAGAAATCCGTTTTGTCTCGAAATTTGAGTCGAGCACGCGCGATGCAAGTCCGTTCAAGGATATGATTGACGATATCTCCTTCCAAACCGTTGACTCAAATCAAGATTGCCACAGCCTTTCGTTCTCGCTCATGTGCGCAGCAGAGATGTTCGTCAAAAACGTTGTCGACTGGAAGACGTACAAATGTGCGTCCATGATCGACTTGCGCTGCTTCAGAACGAAGCGCTGCTCCGGCCGCGACTCAAGGACGCGGGGCTTCGCTTTTCTTCCGCGAGCTTCCATCGAAGCAAGGTCCATAACTCTCTTTTGAAATCATGTGGAACATTGCCAATACATGCTGAAAACTTCGTCACAAGAACAGAAAGAAAGATACGTCGAATGTAAGCAGTGTTTTGATGAAACAAACAAGCCTGGAGTGGACTAGTGAAGTACCATAGTCTGATAGACATAGTGTTATCGACTGTAGTGTAGCCTGGGCAGCTAGGACTATCAAACCTTTACGTGTTCAATAATTATGACAAACTAGTGAACAAACATGTATATGAGTACATTGACTTTTGCACCCTCTTTGCAAATGCTTTTTGAAGTGCTGGTATGTAAAAGGTAACCCGTTTTATCCTGCTATCGATTATACATGTACCAACATTTCCATGCAACCGGCATCGTCCCCTCCCTCCATTCCTCTTTATTCTTATTTCCGTCCTTTCTACCCCTGTACCTGGTTCCCTCTCAGACGCGTTTGTCCCGGCATGATCTGATGATAGCAGTCGGACGAGCCCCGCATCTCATCAGCACCAGTGTTCATTGGTGCCCTGCACCCCTGATCTTGAGTCCCCCCCCCCCCTCCCTCCTCCCTAGCCGGCTGCCCTCGCCGTTATCTCCGACGGGATGTTCGGGGGATGCGCATGTGCACAAAATTCATACATAATTATACAATGGGGCCCCAGAAAAAAATTACCAACTCTAGAAACCCCCCTTTCAAGACTCGGTGCACGCCACTGCGTATTGTATATGCCCTTTTGACATTCTGAGAAATTAGTAGACATAACTGCAATACAATAGTACATCCAAACTCTGTACAGAACTATAGTGCTCATTCCATGAAATGCTATTTCTAGATGACAATATTGGAAATCATTGTGATTAGCTTATTCTGGAATATATCATGCTTGCATGGTTGACTCCAACGCGTACATGCAAGTAATAATAATAATAATAATACCTTTGAAAATGATCATGTTCAACTGTCTTCGTAATCATCATACTCGTCCAACCGATGTCACCCTGGGCTTCACCCTACGAATAATCAGCTCATCTCTCCCGTAGCTCCACTTCTCCTTCCATCATGACCGAACATCACTTATTCTGGAATATAACATATTATTTTTGTACTGATTTCAATTTCAGTCAGAAATAGTGTTGCAATTTTCACAACATTGGGGAATTTTGCTGTGCTCTTATTTTCTACTACAGATGTTGATGTAGTTCCCGACGTTCTCTTTAACCTTCTTACATGGGTAATAGCAGACAAAGGCAGCATCGAGTTCAGCACCAAGCGGACGGCAAATCTTGATGACCATACTGCACGTCGTATCTCCTCTACTGGCAATGATATTGTCTTCTCGGCCGCTGCCTACCCAACTAAGAAGCACACCACTCTAGCCATGGCCCTGCACCACTTATTTCGCAGCAAGCTAGTTGTCACCGTTCTCAACCGCCTTGGACACTGCAGCTCGTATAGTCAAGTGCAAGAGATCGAGACGAGTCTTGCAACCCAGCATGCCCTGAATGCCAACGAAGTCTCTCTCCCACAAGTTGTCGACCCGAAACGGCCATTCCATTTCGTTTGGGACAATAACGACTTGTGTGAGGAGAGTTTGTGTGGAAAAGGCACAACGCACTGTACGAATGGTATTGTTATACAACGAAATGCCCCTGATGACAGCCTCATCAACTCCACACCAGTCTCTGCTGTTCGCTCATCAAAGCGTAAGCGTTCCCTGCCAACGCATCCAATGATATTACCAGTGTTTCCCTCGGGAAATAAGGTCAATCCACCACCCATGGCCATGCCATTTGACTTCAACCTCGCTATTACCACCCAGGTCAATGGAGTTCAGCCAGCACTCATTGATTTCCTGTGGATTCTTGCCAGAATGTGCCCAAGTGGAGATGTTGGACACCCAACTGCAGTGAAAGAAGATGCGCAGTCCGTAGTCGAGGAGTCTCAGTTACAAGTGGTTCCAGCCTGGACAGCTTTTAACTCACTACTGTGCAAGGAATCAACTCCACCGCGATCGACTGTAGCATATTGTCCTGTGATCAGTGCATCGCCAACCGACAGTGCCACAGTATATGCGCTACTGTCACAGTCAGTGTCCATGACTCGGAAGGCTGAGCTCCCATTCTGTGTGATTGTCTTGGACCAAGCAATTTATGCGAAGGCCACAGACATTGTATTGCAGAGGGCATCTGAGTTTAGTGACGTTGTTCTGAGGATGGGCGGTTTCCATATCTGCATGACACTGCTCGCAATCATTGGAAAGCGTTTCTCCGATGGTGGCCTACTCAACCTGTTGGTAGAAGCTGATGTGGCTGGATCCTCAACAGCAGGTTTAGCGCTGAGTGGAAAGCAGTACAACCGGGCGGTGCGCTTCCATAAATTGGTCTATGAAGCAGGTGGTATCATCGGCATCAGCTTGAACCCATCTGCTGTACAACGCTGGGTCATGACAGCGCATGATCGTGCACGTTTTGCAGATTCCTGTCTCCAGCTCTGTGGACTTGACGACTGCTCCCGTGAGGCTGATGTGCTGCACAAAGAGTGTCATCTGCCATGCATGTCGAGAGATGAGGATGGTGTGCAACGTGTGGAGGCAACGATATGTTGGTGGTTCAACCCCTTTGGTGACGAAACGCTGGATAGGGATTCTGCCGACTTGGTCAACCTCTCGTCTGGTTTGATGTGCTCCGAGCAGACCACGAAGGCCTTTCTTGAAGCAGAACAGCAGGGAAAGGAAGCATTTCAAAGATTCATCAAGAATCGCGTTGTCGACCAGTGTGACAAGTTCCACGACCCCATCCAGAAGCTGAAGCTAAGCACGTTTGCCGTCCGCAAGGAGCGTACCACCACCCGTAGTGCGTTGAAGGTAGCAGTGCTCAAGGCGGATTGTGCCCTGTTCAGTAAGATGGCTGTTATTGCCCAGCAGCGTCATCTTGACATTCGTGAGGTTCTTGCATATCCGCTTTCAGCTGCGCCCTTGTCGTTATGCACTGCAGAAGGCACCAGGGTGAAAACAACCAAGGCCGCACTGTTGCAGCTCCTCAGCAAGACGGATTGTACCAGCCATGAGCCAGCACCTCCATCTTCGGCTGCGTTAATCGTCGACGCCATGGCTCTGCTACGGACCCTGAAGTCGACTTCCTTGCCAGGTATGCTCGGAGAACTGGCAAAGCATGTGTTTATATGCCTCGTGAGGAATTTCCCGCAGTTTCGCCGAATCGACTTTGTAGCTGATACGTATCCAGAATACTCCATCAAAGATGTTGAGCGAAGTCAACGAGCGCAATCGCATGGTGAGATCCGGCTAAGAATCTCAAGTGGACAGCAGCACACGCCGAAGCAATGGGCTAAGTTCTTGTCAAGTGGCAGCAGCAAGACTGAGCTTGTTAGCTTCCTTGTTACGGAATGGTCCACCGATGCCTACGCCAGCCACCTGAAAGCTAGACAGCTGTACGCAACAGACGGTATCAGCTGCGTCAAGCTAGTGTCACCTGATGGCCTCACCACCACAGCAACAGAGTGCTTACGGCTGAACTGCTCACATGAAGAGGCAGACCCTCGGCTTCTGCTGCACGCTCGTGATGCTTGTGCAGAAGGCTATACTTCGGTCACGATCAAGTCGCCGGACACGGACGTAGCGGTTCTGGGTTGCGGACTGAGCCACCGCTTTCCTGACAGTATGAAGCTCCTGTTTCTGCCTGGTTCTAGGAGCAAAGTCCTGCTCCTGAATCTCTCAAAGATTGGCTCTGCGCTAGGCACTTCCGTGTGTGACGCACTGATCGGCATGCATGCCTTTACCGGGTGCGATACGGTCAGTGCGTTCCACGGAAAGGGCAAGACCAGCGCTTATCAGCTCCTGGCCAGTGATGGAAGCAAGGGAGACCTGGCACGAAGTTCAATGGCCGAACTTGGCAAAGCCTTCAACCCGCTGTCAGCAGGCGCCATGGCAGAAATCGAGCGGTTTGTCTGCATGCTGTATGGCCGGTCAAACCAGTCAAGCGTTAACAGCTTACGGTACGAGTTGTTTTGCTTGCTGGATAACGCCAAGGATTCGAGCAGACTGCCCCCATGCCACGATGCTCTGCGTAAACACGCAGCAAGGGCCAACTTCCAGGCGGCTGTTTGGTGACGTGCTCTAGAAGCCCAGCCCCCTGTCCCTGAAGCGTACGCTGGAAGCCATGGTTGGCAGCTGTCCAATGGCCAGCTGCGCATTGATTGGCTCTCGGTAGCTGCAGCACCACAAGCAATCTCGGAATTTGTGAAGTGTTCCTACAAGACCGGCTGCCAAGGGAATAGATGCTCATGCCGCAGCCAATCCCTTCCCTGCACGGATGTTTGTGGATGCAGTAGCGAGTGTAGCAACCGCGAGGAGTCAGGTCATCCCATAATTCAAGAAGATGACGACACTGTCCAGTGTGAGTAATATTATTGTCTAATCTTCATCCAGGCTGGGTACCTCTTATTTGTGTTGAACTTCCTTGGCTGCAGGCAGTCACGGGTAATATATCTGATCCACCTTGTCTTTTGTTTGTTATGTTACAGAGCCGTTGGATTACTACACATGCCTGGTCCAAGATCTCCATCACCACAGCTGTCAGCTGTCATCGTGTTGCAGCATTGGTGTAACATTTCTATCTGTTTAACTGCCTACAGACTGTACTTGCCCTGGCAACCTGGTAGGCCCATTCGATCATGCCACACACTCTTTCCACACTGTATGTATTTTTCATGTTGATAACAATCACAGCATAATATCTGTAATGAGCCTAAGTGAACTGCAGTAGTCGTTGTCTTCCGTGATGTTTCCTCTGATACTGCTACTCTGGCTGGCTATGTTATGTGTAATTCGAAGTACATCAGACTCTAGGGTACAGTTTACGGATTCTGGTTGCCATGCGTTTAAGCAGCTCAATCAATGCTAATACATGGCCAATCGAAACGGTCTGTCCTCTGCATTGATGAAACGGGGCGTAGTGGTGCACCCATTGCATGAAAGTCTTTCCAGATAAGTTATTTCAAGGCATGCTTCTAATCCATAATATATATAATATTCCAGGATTGATAACATCAGTCCTACCCATTATTAATGTTTCGTAAGAATCGTAACTGTTTCTGCGCTATTATTACAGTGTTGCCATGCTGTTGCTATGATGTTTGTTCTTGGTTACCATTGGTTACCATGGTATCCAAGTTCGAAAAATGCTCTGGGGTGCTTCAAATATTTTATGTAGTTGTTTGGCAGATAGAATTTTCCGGGATGAAAGTAATAGAAAATCGATTTTTGTGGTCAGTTGCCATGGTAACTAAAGGCAATTTCAATTGCATTTTTCACAACCTTTCAGAAAGTTCTGAGAATGACAACAAGTGGAAACATCATCTACGTATGCTCCTCTATCATATTAGCAAAATAATCGTGGTACACCCCAAGTGGGAACGGGAAGTCACATTTTGCCCACTTGGCTCCTGTACTACCAGGTCTGGAGCGTTTGACTCGCGTGTAGAAATGCAAAGTGCCGTGACGTATCTTGCAGGCTTCGCATCTCGGGAACGCAGCATCGTGCCGCGATCGCGCATGCTGTATTGGATTCCTTGGAGTTTTGGATTGGATTGGATTGGATTTTTATTTATAGTGGCGACTATAACAGACAATTGCCTAATAACAATAGACCCACTCCAGGGAAAGATGCAAAAAGATATGAACAATTAATATAATAGACTACCGGTATTGGATAGGTGATGATGTTCGCATTTTGCATAGCTGAAAATCATAAGTACTAGCGTGAAAAAGCAAGGCATTGGGGTAACAGTTTCTTAAAACGGGCGGAGTTATCCACACAGCGAGCTAGAGGGTGTAAATAATTCCACAGCTTAGCACATTGGAAGGAAGCGCCATGACGGGCAAAGGCAGTTCTGAGCATGGGCAACTTAAGAGTGCGTGATACAAGGCTGCGCGTTGCAAGACCATTATTTAAACGCTCGAACATTTGACTCAATGTGACACTACAGCGGCCTTCCAAACAGCGCTACGTCAGATACAGTAATTTCTTGCAATACATGGATGCCAAACGATCTAGACCAAGTCTCGCAAATAAAGGGTTTGATGGGCTACAAAAACCAGTATCATACTGTAGTATTGTTTCTTCTTCAGTCCAAAACAACAAGAGTCCAGAGTCCAGAGTCAAACCATGCACAGCAACTAAAAGCCGCCAAGTCCGTTTCACGCGCGCGCGGGAAACGGCACATGCTACATGCATAACATCACGATGTACTACTACTACTGCTACATGCATCATGAATGTCTGGAGTGGCCAAGGAATGCCACAGCGCGTAGGAACACGTGAACACTACATCTCTCCCAAGCAGATGAAAAAACGTAGGGTGAAAAGTGGAAAACTGAAAACACGAGGCATGGATAAATGACTTGATGTCAGGCTGTCCCTCTCCCTATGCTACAGATAGAAAAGGCGGAGCAGGTAAACAGTCACACAAAAGATAAAAGGGAAAAAACTGAAGCCAGTCTGAGATTCAGGGTGGACTTGATGCACCGTCATACATCAGGTGGCGCGTGCTGTTTGGACATATTTGTGGACCGCCTTGGCCGAGCGCGGTGGCTGCTGACGCCGGTAGTGGAGGCTCGGGCGACGGAGGATGAACCACGATAGTGGGAGCCGGCTTCATAAATGACACATGCCTAGAGACCCGCTGGCCTGTGACTGGATGGGTGATGACCACGGTGGAGCCCGTCATCTCGTCCACAGTCCATGGGTTTGGATCCCAGATTGAGTCGAGCTTGTTGTGCTGCCGTTCGTTCTTGCGCAGAACTTGTTGACCCGGTTTGAGGGTGATGGTCGAAGCCGGTTGCGCACTGCGATGGTGGTTTGCCGCCTCGCATTGGCGGGCGCGGAACGCATGCTCCTTGTTCGCCGCTGGCCTGTGACTGGATGGGTGATGACCACGGTGGAGCCCGTCATCTCGTCCACAGTCCATGGGTTTGGATCCCAGATTGAGTCGAGCTTGTTGTGCTGCCGTTCGTTCTTGCGCAGAACTTGTTGACCCGGCTTGAGGGTGATGGTCGAAGCCGGTTGCGCACTGCGATGGTGGTTTGCCGCCTCGCATTGGCGGGCGCGGAACGCATGCTCCTTGTTCGCCGTGACGGTCGCATCTGGTGCTGGGACCGTGCACAGGCTGGGGAGAGTGTCCCGGATGCTGCGGCCGAACATGATGGTAGCTGGCGGCAGGCCTGTGGCGGGGTGGGGAGTGGTGCGGTATGCGAGTAGCCACTCGTCAAGTGCAGCACGCAAATCTCGGCCATCCAGTTGGGCAGCACGGAGGACCTTGCCGATCGTGCGGTTCATCCGCTCCACTGCACCATTGGCTTGGGGCCAGAGAGGAGGCGTGCAACGGTGAGCGATGCCCATCTTGGCCAGGAAACGGTTGAACTCCGCCGAGCGGAACTGGGGGCCGTTGTCAGAGACCACTTATTCTGGCAGGCCGAATGCTGCGAACGCACTGCGGAGCACTGCAAGTACGCCAGCTGTAGCGGGAGTGGAGTTGAACACGTGAGTGACTGGGTAGCGACTCAGTTGGTCCACCGCAACCAAGAGTGTGCTTCCGCCTGGCAAGGGGCCATACAGGTCGACAAACACCCGTTGCCATGGCGCCGTCGATGGCGGGGTCGGTGTGGATTCCGGCCTGTATGGGCCTGTTGGCGTGTTTGCCTGACAGGAGAGGCATTGGCGGCAGAGGGATTCCGCAGCGGACGTCATGCCAGGCCACCAGACTTTCGTGTACAGTCGTTGCTTGGTCCGTGTCATGCCTTGGTGGCCGGAGTGGGCCAGTTGAAGTGTCCGCTCTCGGAGAGACAGTGGAATCACCAGACGATGGTCCTTGAGCAGGAGACCGTCGGCGGCGGAGAGTTCATGCCTTTGCTTGTAGAAAGGGCGGATGTCCACTGCCTTGTCGTCCCACATGCCCGTCTGCAGTGACAGCAGCACGGCCTGGAGCGTTGAGTCTGCTTGAGTGGCGCCTTGGATGTCGGACAAGAGGAGGGCGTTGGGAACAGAGGACTGCGCGATGGCATTGATATAGGTGGTGTCCTCCTCTTCACCAACATTCGGCAGGGGAGGATGTGGCTGAGGGTGACGACTCAAGACGTCTGCTGGGTTGGTAGGGCCAGGTTCACACACCAACTTGAAGTGGAGGTCTTGGACCTTGAGAGCCATCCGTTCAATGCGGGGTGGAGGTCGTGAAGACGGGTGAAGCAGCTGTAGAAGGGGCTTGTGGTCGGTGTGGACCGTGAAGCCGGGGTCGCCGCTGAGGAAATGGGAGAAGCGCAAGCAGCCGTACTTCACACCGAGGGCTTCGCGTTCTGTTTGCGAATAACGCTGCTCAGTGGGGGTCAGGCTGCGGCTTGCGAATGCGACTGGTTTCAGCTCGGAGTGATCCTGGACGACTGCTTCAGGAGACTGGCAGAGGATGGCGCCAAGGCCAACGGGTGAGGCATCGACGTAAAGGTGAGTGTGTTTGGTACGGTCGAAGTAGGCGAGGGCCCGATCAGCTGCTATGTCGGCTTTGATGGCATCGAATGCTGCCTGAGCCTAGGGTGACCAATCCCACTGCTGACCCTTGCCAAGGAGTTTCCGCAGGGATGCCGTCTTGGTGGCCATGTCGGGGATGTAATGGCGCATGAATGTCGCCAAACCCAGGAAACTCTTGATATCGGAAGCTGACTTGGGTGTGGCGAAAACAGCAATGCTCTCTTTGTGGTGTGGTGCAGCCTGAGTGCCCCGGCGACTGTAGATAGTCGACATGAAGGCCAGGCGGGTTTGGCGAAACTGGCACTTCGCCAGGTTGAGGGTAACATTGTGGGCACGTAGGCGTTGCAGGCAGGCGTGCAAGCGCTCATCGTGGACTTGGGCCGTCTCGCCGTAGATGAATATATTGTCGTGCACGCTGCGAACACCTGGGAGACCCGCGAGGACACGGTCCATGGTCCGCTGGAGGATCTCAGACGCTGAAGCCAACCCCATGGCGAGTCGCTTGCACCGCATTAGGCCGAGGGGCGTGTGGAACACGGTGAAAAGACGGGATGACTCGGCCAATGAGATCTGGTGGAAGGCCTTGTTCATATCCAACTCGGTGAACACGGTGGCCCCTGGCATGTCGGAAGTAATCTCCTCGAGCGTGGGGATGGGATGGCGTTCCCGTGCCGCAACGGCGTTGACATCACGGAAATCCTGCGTGAGACGCACTTTGCCCTTGCGCTTCGGCACGACCACCATTCGGGCAACCCATGGGGTGGGGCCAGTGGCAGGCTCGATGACATCCAATGCGAGCTGCTCATGGAGCTCAGCGAGTGCGTCCTTCTGGAGGTGGACAGCCACTTTGGATGGTGCGTGAGCGACAGGACGGGCGTTGCCATCTACGTAGATATGGGCTTCTACGTCGTTGATGCAGCCGGGGCCCTGGAAGCGGTCGTGGTACTCAGCAAGGTCGTCTGGCAGTTGCGGACTTTCGATGCTGTGGACCAGCTGGATGAGGCCAAAACGCATGGCGGTCTCGCGGCCAACGATAGCAGCGGTACGTGGCGCGTGTGCGACAACGAGGAATGTTGCCGTTGAACTCATGGTAGCGGAGGAAACACAGAGGGTGATGCTACCCAGAAGAGGAAGAGGTGAAGTTGAGCCGTAAGCAAAGATTTGCACATCCGTTTTCTGAAGTGCTGCACCAGGGGCAACCTTTGCCAGGTCATCAGTATTGATGATATTGTGACTGGCACCACTATCCACCAAGACAGTCAGGGGTACGCCGTTGACGTGCACGGTGCGCCGGGCATCCTCACGGCAGGGTGCCGTAGATGGGCGAGGCGGAGAGTCGGTAGAAAACAGCTCTGCGCCGATCTCTAAAGAATGAATGGCATGGTGGCCGCTGTTGACAGCGTGCTGGTCAGAGTGTTGGTGGGGACGGCGTTCCCTGAACGTGCGGGCCTGGATGGCGGAGTCG